CATCATCATCATTATCACAAACAACAACACCACAAGTGGTTCAAGCTGCACCATCAATTCATATTATCATCACCATCATTATTATCATTGTTACTATCTTCACCATCATCGATCATCATCATTACCATCATCACCAACATTATGACCTTCCTTAAATATGAAAGGTCACGTGATTTACCTGCATCTTGGCACGTCCGGTCACGTGATAGATTAGTGAAAAGACTGTGGTAGCTACCTGCCTTGGGGATTTCTGGATAAGCTAACATATGACGTAGTGTTGTGTGGACATCAAACGGTGAGCTAATAATCTGCTCATTATTAGCAAGTGCGGCGGTCAAGTCAGGATACTCAGATTCCAACCAATCAGGGACTGATATCGATAACCATGGCAACCGCTCCTCTAACTTTCCTTGCATTGTATTTCTAACGTCGTCGTTTCGTGAGCCGTGGTCTCCAAATATAACCAGAAGAGTGTCATTCAGGTTGCCACGAGATTTCAATTTCTCAAGCATGGACAAGACATCCAGGTCTCCGTAACTCAGTTGGTTTGGATGTGCATGCGTCAAATATGATAACAACCCCATTGCGAACTTAGGGGTTTCTTTATAAGCTTCAAAAAAACTGACCAGATAGTCCATGGTGTAGTTCACCAAAGACACTCCTCCAGAACAAATCCCTGTCTCGTCTCTCATCTCTTCATCCTCGATAGCTAGCCAGAAGGGACGCATATAGTGATGGAACGGTGGCTGAGAGAAGCCCTTGAGCCGTAGATGAAACGTGCTCATTTCAGGGTCATCCTCCGAGTACAACGTCACATATCCATGCTTCTCGTACAGTCTACTGATCCAAGGCCATTCATCTATATGCTTGCTACCGGAAACCCCGATACGTCCCTCGGGGAGAGTCGACTCGCGTTCTCCTGTAAGTAATGCAGTTAATGCAGGCGTGGTTGCATCACCTACAATTGAATATCCCTTCAAGACGTAAGAGCGCATTTCCGTTTTTAACCAATCTAAAGTGTGCGGCATCTTGCGTACGAAATTAGCATTCGAAGTAGAATCAATTCCCAGCATCAATATATTCAAAGGAAGACCTTTCTTAAGATTGTGTTTAAGTCTTATCATTTTTGATTGTTGTACGACATCCTGCCGCGCGACAACTCTAGCATAATAATACGTTTTTCTATGGTACTCTCCTTTCAAAGAATAAGATATCCGAAAAAAATCAGACCCCAATATTGGCTTACTTTCATAGCCCCCATCAGCTGAAGCGTTCATCTGTAAAGTTTCCTTGGTGGCATAATAAGAATTGTCTGTATTTTTCTCACGGTGGATGGTTTCCAAGGAGACGACGGGTCGCGTGCCAGAATTGTTCCTCAAAACCAATCTATTGACAATGACATCATAAAAGGAACTCTCGGACCGCGAGCTGCATCTGGGATCAAATCCAACGTCTTTTAAAAGGTGTTTGATTGATTCATCCCATGGATTGAGATTTGGCAGGTTACAAGAGTTGAGACTTTTCAAGGGTCGTTTCGTTGGGGTGTACGATACACTTCCAGTCTTGGTTTTATAACTAGTTGGAAGAACAGATTCTGTCGTCGTAGCCTTCGAACTATCTCCCAATGATGTTTTCGTGGTTGGTTTGAAGTTCCGAGTACTCTCAGTCACATGATCCACATGCGTTACACTGCTGCTACGTACAGCTTGAGTCATGTTACGTTCTCGTGTAGCGACCAACTGCATCCTGTCACGTTCTTTCTTAACAGGTTGAGTCTTATCATGCTCTTTGGAAACGACAGTATTAGAATGCATCCTTTTACTCTTTTCTATGTCATTATCTGAATATTTTATCTCGGCGTATGAGTCTAAAGTTTCCATTCCATTTCCGGGCTCGTTTCTTATTTCGTTGCTCTCTTTTTCTCTCAATTCTTTCAGTTGTTCTGCTGGTTCTGGATTGCACGTTGTAAGTAAATCCTTCGCTCCCTGCCCCGTTTCTCGGTCGTCGTGTTGCATGGTTGTCGCACCATTACTACTATCAGTGGTTCTTTTAATGTCCTTGTTTTCAGCGGTATCAAACGTTGTACTCATACGCTTGCGCTGTAAATATTGCCAGCTAATGTCTCTGTTGGTAAGGAATCTATATCAAAAAAGAATTTCCATTGTCAGTATTACAGCTATGCCTTCTTTACCGTCATGCCTGTGCCGCCAGCGAGGGTATTTTTTTAAACCTTTTTTTGTTGTTGGTGTTGGTGTTGTTGTTTTTGTCATTGCCATATTTTGTTTGTTTGTTTGTCAAGTTTGTATACCCTATTTGTTTGTTGTTGTTTTTTCCTCTCGCGGTCGGTCGATAGTAGATAAAAACGTTTTCAGTAGAGATGGGGATGAGCTACTGTCAAGAGAAGAGATAACTAGCTAAAAACTAGTGTGAGCTGCGTCGGTGTTTCTAATGAAACAGTAATGATAAAAGGATAATTTATACACCGTGAAAAGATGAAAAAACTTACTGACGTTTCGGACGCTAGCTAGTCCTTCGTCGGACTACTTTCAAATGAGTAGACAGTACTCCGACGAAGGACTAACGTCCGAAACGTCAGTAAGTTTTTTCATCTTTTCGCGGTGTATAATCTATCCTTTTATCGATCATTACTGTCAAGAGTGTGTTTTATGATTCACTTATGTAATAAGGGTTTGAAGAACACAATGTTTCGAGAGAAATTATAATAAACTGAAATAAAAAAATTTATAGGATGAGAGGACATTGACGGTCGTTAAAATGCTAGTCGGTGAGCGAGGCATCAAACTTCGCGGGTCGCACTTCAACGATAATGGTAGTAAAGTAAACTATACAGTTGAGTGACATCGCAAACAACCAACGTGGCAAAGTCTCACACGTGTAACCGTCCACTATGTAAATGTTGTCTCAGTGAGGAGTATATTAAAGTTTAAGAAACACGACGTATTACAAACAATTTGAGATTTCTGGTTTCACATTTAAAAAAAAAATCAGTGCTACGACTCAGTGCTACTTGACAATAGTTGACGAAGCATACCACAAGCTCTTCAATTGAAACATCAAGGATATAATTATTGCTATCCTTATTGCTTTTACGAGTTCAATTAGTTGCCACGCGATTAAGACCAACGTTGCAAGCCTTTAGAGCGAACAATAAGACTTTTTTTAAATTATGCATAATTTTTGTCCTTTAAATTTTTACAAAAAAAAAAAAAAA